GGTAGTATCGATATTACTCCGATTTGATGTTTATCCCAACTACCCTCATTTTTGTCATCGCCAAAGTCTCTTGCATATTGGCTCCCCATTGGTACATTATTCTCTTCAAAGTTTCTGTAATTATTGAACCTTCCCCAATAAGGGATTCTCCCTCCTCTTCTCCAGGGTCTTCCTCGAAATCTCCTTTAGAATGTTGGAAATTCAATATTCGATCCTTTATCATATGAAAGTCTCTCGAAGACATCATTATTTTGAAGTCTGACCCTTCCTTCTCGAGAAGGATACATTTCTTTCCTAACCCATTGTTTCTGATTTCTACTAGCACCAGAACCAACAGATTTCTGTTGACTTTCCCCTATCGTTGCTTGGACTGTTTGATCTACTTTATCATTGTCCCTTTTGTTTTGATTCTCGATTTTCTTTATCTGTCCTGCTCTGAAAGCTTTAGCGGCTGACTTGTCGAACACCGCACTGCATCGTGGACATAACGTCACATCTTCATCCTTTTCTTTCTTTCTGTTTAAAAACTCGACGAGAGAATCTTCTGATCGAGGATAGATCTCTCTCTCGAATTCTTTCTCGAACTCGCTTAAATCAAATTCTATGTCTTCTTCTGACATGTCCATTCTGACATGTCTGGGATCAATGTCTTCAGTAACATCAACCATGCCTACAAAGGTTGGATTTGTCAATCGGACATCTTCAGCCATGCCCGTTTGGGATTCGATATACCCTACTTGAATCTCAAATGGACTCGTATCCACTTTCATTGACATCTCCTCGAACTTCAATCTCCCTTGGTCAATCGCATCTTGGATCGTGTTCCTGAAATGTATACAATTATTAGTCCAATGTCCATAAATATTATGAAATTTGCAATATTTTCGACCATTTCTTTGTTCTGCAGTAGTCAGTTTATGATCATCACTCAACTTAATCTGTTTATCTTTCAATAAAATATCGAAGATTTTATCCGCCTTTGTTACATCAAAAGTATATGTTCGATTTGCCATTTTGTCTTTTACTTCATTTTTCTGTAGCAATTTACAAATGTATGGAGCTCCTACTTTAAGCTCTGCTATATTTACTTTCTCATCGACAGTTTCTTTAATATTTGTTTCTGCCTTGGGATCTTCCTCATATACATCATTTGTATATGCTACTTTTTCTTTCTTCATAGGTTTCTCGAATTTCTTATACCTTTGTTTTCATATTCAATTTGTTCCACTCTTCTCACTTTATCAGCTAACTGAGCCATGTCATTCAACGGTAAATTAACTAACTTTTTCCTAATCGAGAATTCTAAACCTGCAGAGGTCATTCTGACTAATTCATATTCAGGAATTTGAGTAAAGCATCTTGACTTCATTTGTCTAAATCTATTCAAATAATCATCTATGCTTTCATGATTGTATCTCTTTATGTTCATTAAGTCGATGAGACTTACTTGAGTCTCCCCCCTAAAGAATTGCTCATGAAAATTTCTTTCCAATTGCAACCAATTATATATCGAATTGGGTGGCAATGAAGTAAACCAAGTGAAAGCATTCTTAGTTAATGAACTAGGGAAATATTTCATTTTTAATTTTTCACTCATCGTTAGGTCCCCACATTCGATCTGATATCGCGCCACATGTTCGATAGTGGACTCACCAATTTCTCCAGCAAACTTGGTGAATTTATGTATTTTGTATCCTCGAGGTAACTCTGTCTCGAGAATCGTATTTGGAAGGAGAAACAAAATATAGTTGATTGGGTGGTCTTAATTCCAGTCCTTGGGGATTCATCCTTTGTCCTAGCATGTGATTATACTGCATGTTATTATACACATTTTGAAATCCTTCATTCAAATTTCCGTAAATATCATTCCTCACCTGTTGATATTCATTCCCCATGTGCTGATGTTGATCATTGTTTCGATTTCTCCTTAATAAATAAGGGGGATTGATATTAGCATTCTGGTTAAGGTTCTGATTGACATGATTTTCCACTCTTGTTTGTCGAGGTATAGTCAATGCATCCCCGATACGTGACATTTGGTCTGCTAGTATTTCAAAACTAGTGGTAGTGTTTTGCACTAATGGATTTAATACTGTAGTCAACTGTTGTGATAACATGTTAATCATCTCGAAATTGCTTTCATCTATTTGTTGTCTAAGTACTCCTAATGAGTTACTGGAGATTCCAGTACTAGCGTTTTCAATAGTCTCAAAATTGGATCGATGATAATCTCTATCGAATGTATATCTCCCATGATCTAGATTTGCTCTGTGATCTAGATTTGGAGGTGTCTGTTGTGTACCTAAATTCTGCACACTCCCTGAATTCTGGGGGGTTACTAAATTTTGAGATGCCCCTAAATTTGGAGATACTCCAAAGTTTTGTGGCATACCTAAATTTTGAAATGTACCTAAGTTTTGAGGCATTCCTAAGTTAAATCTCGAACTTCATTGTATTGAAGAGGTACCAGCCCCATTCATATTATTAAGCGAAAAACCAGGCGGCCTTACGCTCATATACGGCCCTGCATATGTTGTTATAGGGTTTCCCATAATTTGCATATTGTTCGATATCACAGTGCTAGACCCTACTTGAGTGTTTACTAATGTACTTGAACTTTGTTCATTACTCACAGGTATCGACATACTCGCAGTTGTCGATATTACAGGCATATTCCCATTATGACCTTGCCCCCCAGTGCTTGGTGGATGTGAACCATTTAGAACCTCACTGTTACTCTGATTATTTGGTGGATGACTCATTCTTATTACTCGCCCGCTCCTTAATCTCATACACTTTCGAACTAACCAATTTTGTGTTTTTCGACACAAGACCTCCCTACCTGGCGCGCCAATTTGTTTCTGGTGAAAATTTGATTGATTTCGATTTATGGGGAGTTGAGTCCTAATCAAATCTCGACCATGTAGATTCTTTTTACTTATGCTAGCAACTAGTTTTCAATCGAAAAGTGCATGAGAATCGAAAATCTTATAGTGTAAAACGACATGACCTAGAGTACATATTTTTGATGTTTTCTTAAAAAATGCAAAGAAAAAGAAGTGTTGAAATCGAAAAGTAGTGCGGAATATTAAATTGCAGGAATGTAAAAAACACGAAAACCTCAAATTTGCATTAAGTATAAATAGCGAGAAATCGAAATTGCAGGAATGTAAATAACAGGAAATCGAAATTGCATAAGTGTAAATAGCGAGGAACTTAAACGCAAAATCTCAACTTACATAAAAGTAAAATAACATGGAATTAAAAGTGCAGAAACTTAAAGTTGCTTAAACGTAAACTGCGTCAAAATAAATTGCATGAACATAAATTACCAGGGAAAGTACAAAAAGCGGTAAAGACAATCAATGAAAATGGAAATCCAGATCGCCAGAAACTTCATGATTTCGTCGTTCTCCGGTAGACTTTTTCACTAATGTTTCAGTTCTCTCTGTCAATTTCCCCTTCTTCCTCAAGCTTTGCTCTATTTATAGGGCGCCCTTCAGATAACCTCCTAAGAGCAGTTAACAAAACTGCCACCACGACCCACCATGCACGTCTCTCAGTTCCACGGTTTAAAAAACTGTATTTCACGTTCCCATGCATGAGATAACCGCTCCCTTGACCTTCGATCTCTGCCACGGTTTAGAAACCGTTTCCCATGTTCTATGTGCGCGTTAATTGTTCCTCTCTTTCTAACTTAGCCAGGATTTCGATGGCCGTGCATGTTAACTTTTCCCTCGATTTCGATTTCAAAATCTCGGGAACTTTGCATTGCTTTTTTGACCTTAACCTTAACATTACATGATTCTAATTCCTCGATTTTCTTCAACAATAGACATTAAATATTCCTTCTTCGATTCTCGATTTTAATTCTCGATTTATGTGTCCATACTGTTACATGGTCATCAAATATTTTCCAACAATCTTCACTTTATCAGTTTTTTAACCAATCATATGATCCTCAATTTTTTCTTTCCTTTGTTTTTCGATCTCATTATCGATTTCCTACTAACAACAAGATTATTTTGTAAAACAAATAATACAATAAACAGTTACTATAATACAATCCGAGAAAATATATGATCGTTAAAAATCAAATCATTTTATTTATTTAATTATATATTATATTATTTTATATTAATTATTAATTTTTATCATCAGTTATTATTGTTTTAGTTATTTTATATAAGTAGAATTAGTTAAAAAATAAATTTTACTCATCATTTATTTTTAAATATATTATTATCTAAAAATTGATTTTTATGATAAAATATCTTTATCAGATAAGTTTTTATTTTTTTAAAAGAAAATTATTTTTAATCATTTTAAAGATATAATTTAAAATCTGATAGATAAATCTCCTCGTTCCAATCTCACATTTCGATAAAAACAAAAAATAAATTAATGTATTTTTTTTTCTTATTGGATAAACAATTACACGTCAGTTTGACAAAGTAGAATGCATTCACACCACGAGAAGATGAACACGTGTTTCGATCGTCACCGCGTGGACAATGCAACGTGTTCTGAGTGTTTTAATTAAAGAACCTAGTTTACTTGATGACGTCAGCCATGATGCGTTTCAAAATAATAAAGCCCAATCATATTCATGTTTACTCTTACAAAAAAGCCACCATCATAGTCGTCATCATACAACTACAGGTTTGACACAAAATAACAGAAGTGGATGACAGGTAATTCATTTTGGCACTTTTGATTGCAGGACAACGAAGAAAACATGAAAAGAACCCTCTTTTCTTAAGGTTTGCATAGAAAAAAAAAACACTGCAACATTACATTTTAAACATGATGTTGTTGCAATGACAATGGTCTGACATGGAAGAGATGTGTAGGCCAAGTTTGAGTGCTAACTTGTGCCATCCAAACAAATATACAGAGTGTAAAATGTAATGGATAGTATCACAGTATCAGTCTTATCATATACTCAATCATTGCACAACAACATATTGACATGCACCACGCTTAAATACTCTCCATTCCTAGGAATGATTTTCATTCTGAAGAAGGCTTTGAGCATATTCAGGGTTGTTTCCCCGAGCTCTATGCTTCCATAGCAGCTCCACTTCATCAAATGTCAATCCCTTGGTTTCAGGAACATAGAGAAGCACAAACACAAACGCAAGCACAGCTATAATGGCAATAATTAAGAAAGTAGGGCCAGTGCCTACAGCTGCAGCAACCGACAGAAATGACTCCGCCACAATAAGATTTGAGACCCAATTCACAGTAGCAGACATGCCTCCACATATCCCTCGGTATTCTTCAGGGTACACTTCTGAGTTAACTGTCCAAGGCACAATTCCCATCCCTGGGGAGAAGAAACCAATGTATAGGACCAAACCAAGAACTGCAAGCCATCCATAAAAACCACTTCCAGATGATTGGTTAAAGAATGACAAGGCCAAAATGATTAGAGATGCAATTACCCCTCCTAAGCTAAATAGGGACAATTTTCTCCGCCCTGCATGGTCAATAAGGTAAATGCCAAGAACTGTTCCCGCGGCATTCATGCCAGCAACTATGAGAGAGAGCAGAAGAGCCAACTCGTTAGAGTGAAAGCCGCCCAATTGAACAATTGTTGGGCTGTAGTACATCACTGTGTTGATGCCTGTGAATTGCTGAAAAGCCTGTACAACCATGGGATGATATAAGAACACATTTCATTTTGCATGTAACCAAATAATTTAAACGTTTTGCATATTCAAAGTAAGAACATAATCCCTCAATATGTTTACAAAATCGAGTATGACTTGATCACTACTGATATATTGTATTGAACAAGTGCCAACATGCAAAGAACAATGAAACCACCAAGATGACATGTGATTTTTCTCTCAACATCACACAATTCATGCTATGAGGCTCAAGATTTTATTCTATCATAATCACACAGACAGTCAGAAGAAAGATGAACATTTGGTACTTCACAAAAAGAATACATCATGTAACCAACCCGAGCGCAAATTCAGTGCTTTAAGTTGTAACACCACTTAATTAGTTTGCTTTGTTTCCTAACAACTTAAAATGTCGAAAGCGTATTCATTTATTCTTTCATTTTGCTTTTTCTATTTTGGGAAAAATATTACTCAAGAAGAGAGTTTAAGTTATGTATGCATACCTACAAATAATTCAAACAAAGATCAACTTGAAAAAATGAAGGAATATACATGACTAAGGATAGTAACTAATGTAGTCATAAGTCCCTTATGCCTATCAACCATTTAATAGCAAGGGATCTTCACCGAGGTCCTTCCAAAATGAGAAAAGTTATGTTTTGCTGCCACATTGCCTCTACGTATAGATTTTTTCTTACCTGCAGTCCGGCTCCAGCGAGGAATGCAAGTCTAATTTCTTTGGATTTAAAAACATCCCGATATCTGATATTATTCCATTTTTGGCTGTCTCTCTCTGACTGAATGGTAAGTAAATTAACTTCATCCTCTAAACGAGCAAAGTCATAGATCTTAGCCAGCACACTAATGGCTTCCTCTTGCCTATTCTGCACATGAAGGAAAATATTTATATTGAAAAAATAGCTTTCAGACCTAAACATAAAACAATTATACAACCTTTATAAAGAGCCATCTGGGGGATTCAGGCAGTAAGAGCATAAGGAATAACTGAACTACTGCTGGCACACCTGAAACTCCCAACATCCACCGCCATGTTCCTGGGACCTGCTCGATTAAGAATACGGGGAGTGATTGAAATAATACCCTCAACTCAGAAACAGGAACATGATATTTTGAGCTAAAACATTTTCCTCGTAATGAACTCTGCTTTGCCTAATTTCTTTTTCTTATATCGGGGTTAGAGATATCCACGACTTCACATGTTGATTCTATTAGAAATGAGTGTGGTAAACAAAAAGAAATGAAGACATGCCAACTCACATGGAAGAAATTGTACCCTTTATTGTGCAGGAACTTGTTAAATTGGATACAAAACAATGCTGGATAATTGATATTATTGCTGTTTCATGCAAAATGATGAAAAAAATAAAGCATGGGAAAAGAACCTGTGTAAAAGCTAGATTTATGAGATAGGAAAGAAACTGTCCACCAGTTATCATGAGCACATTTGTGCTTACTAATGCTCCCCTTATTTCTGAAGGTGACAATTCTGCAATATAAACAGGAGCAGTAACAGAAGCTATACCCACACCAAAACCAACAAAAACACGACCAAGTATGAGAACATAAGGATCTGGTGCAGCGGCCATGACAATTGCTCCTAGAGTAAATATAAGATCTGCGATGATGGTTGCTTTCTTTCTTCCATAAGCATCATTAATCCAACCACCTGCTGCTGCCCCAAGAATTGCACCAGCCACTGCCATGCTGACAATTGTTTCCTGCAACTCAATACAATTAAAGGATCCAGTGAGAATCAGCCTATTGTTGTTTTCATCCATTTTAATTTTCATATATAAATTTCAATTTGTGATGCATAACCACCCTAAAGTTCTATTCAGAATGAAAAGTTCATGTTTTCTGTGCTCATGTCATGTTCTTTAATGGATAACAACAATTACTATACGAAACCAGCTCCATCCTTTTAATCTATATTCCTCTAAGTAGCAGAAGCACTAGAACAGAAAAACATTGATTACAAAAGCCAGATGAGTCTTTTCTTTAATGCAGAGGGAGCAACAAAGGTGACTCCATGGTGTTTGATTTCATATGACATGAAGAATCCCAACTCTAGTCATCGCAGGTAACATTTTTACTCTTTATGGATTTCTTTAATGCAGAGGGAGCAGCAACATTTTTACTGCATGCAGCTCATCATAAAGAAATTAGACCCCATGTTCCTTTATATTGTTCAATGGATACATTGATTGCTCTGGTAGATCGGTAAACAAGTGGCCATATGCTTCAATTCAATGGTGCTGCAACTGAGAAGAACAGGAATGAAACATGGGTGTATGAGATGACAACACCCATATGCGAACTGTGCGCGAGGATGGAGGCACAAAACTAATTGCAGCCAATATTTTTTGTCTATAATCCTTTTTTTTTTCTTTTTTTGGAGGGGTGGCGGAAGCTTGGGTTTAAAATCTTTAGCTTGGTGTATTTTAATCAGACAATTAATATTTATGACAAAAAAATCTGACACCCACTTCAGAAGAGGAAAATTAAAAAGCAGGCATTACTGCAGGAACCACTGAAAGTTAAACTAGAGAAACTAAGTGTAGAACCACAACCACAACTGGTGGCACTGCCCAGTAGAAAAGCAAAATCAAATTCCACTAGCAGCATTCTTAATTTTGTGCGGATTCAATGGTCAAATATGAAAAATTGGTTGAAATAGTTGGATGACTGTAGGCTGTGAAAACAATTGACTAAGGACTTCAAGACAGGTATTGGTATAGTACCTGTAGAAAATTGCTGTGTCTGACTGCCTCAAAATCATCTTTAATATAGAGAAGGGCCCCTGATATAACACCTGCAATTCAATAAAATGTCATTCGTGGGTGAAAAAGGAACATATCCTAAAATAGCAATTGAATAAAATTGATGTGGAAGTAGGTACCTGTGTCGTAGCCAAAGAGCAACCCACCAATGCTAGCGACAGCAGTGAGGCCCATAATGTAAGGGTTTTTAAAGACGGAAACTTTCCTCTCTGGGTATATGTCCAGATACCCTGAGCTTCCCGGAATGGAATGGGTTATCGTCGTGATAGTCATGTTGCTGTGCCTGCGGTGCCAAAAAAGGTTGAACGTTGACCCACCCAGATGAGGCTGAGACCGAATCACAAACACTGGGAATTCATTCCACACTTTGACATCGGGTAATGAAATGGAATCCCAACATTATCGGAGTTTCAATTTGCAGAGAAAGATTGAATGGTATGAAGCGAGACAACAGTAGGCATTCACTTCGAGTTGCTTGGGAATGGAAACTTGTTTACTGTCAAGAGACGGACAGGACAAGGGTCATCGTTTGCATGTTCTTTGTTTGTTGTGGTCGACGTCGCATTACATTATTATTTCGAATTATGTGTTGCGTTGCGTTCTTATCATCTGACTATGATACCACTCATGCACGTTCCACACTCTAATCCCCTCACGCTTAATATAACTCTTCACCTGCAATTATCTTTTACCCAAAAATATAATAAACACTTTTTTGTTTTTTATGTACTCAACAACTCAACAAATATACGCACCTTCTTATTTAAAACTCAATCCAAATACTTTTTCTATTAAATTCTTTATATTGGTGACGTATCTGTATGAATATTATATTTATCTACTTCCATCTCTGTTTTATATTAAATTATTTAAAATGGTGGGTAAAAGAGGGTAAATAAACTCGTCATAATTAAAATAATCAAACTTTAAAATAATTTTCGAACATTGAACTCTTTGTTATAATTATACAAACACTCATGTGTAAATTGTGTAAGCTATGATATCAACAGTAAAAAAAAAAATCGTGTGGGTGGTAAAATTTAATTCTCTTCTCTTCATCTCTGATTTTTTTACATTATCTCTTTTCACACATTATTATCTAATATTATTGTGTCAATTTTCATTTTTATTTTTCATTTTGAAACGGGAGAGAGAACCCACATGATCAACTTGCCGATTCATAAGTCAATAAAATAGGAGAAAATGAATAAAATTAATTGGTAATTAGAATGTCCAAAAGGCCCCTATCAAATGTGTTGAGTGTGAAATTTGTAGGAGCAAAATAATGTTACCGACATACTGATAGAAAGCAATATTAGAAAGCCCGTGAAAATAAATTTGAATGAAAGCTTTTGGGCACTAATGATAAAGCAATAGTTTCTTTTAATGGATAATGTTCAATTCTTAAAAATAGGAAAGAATTTGGATAGAAGGAAGGGAAGAAGGAAAAGGAAAATACCTTTTATTGAGAAAAAATATTAGCCAATACACATTAATATTTAAATTTCATAAAGTGTGGCAAAATTAGTCACCACTTTTAAGATGTTCTAAATATTTTAACTTACATCAAAGAGTTGAATATATGAATATGATAATAATTTTCTCAAATGAATGTACATACATTATAGTACAATCTAGGGATAATGTGTCAATGTGAAATAATATATATATATATATAGAATTAACAAATTCCGAAAGATATAAAATGATGTGACATTGTGCTTGACCCCTCACTCCTAAGAATGATTTTCTCCTCCCTCAGCAAGAAGGTTCTGTGAGTCATTGTTCTTGCCCCACGCTCTCTCCTTCCATATCAGTTCTACTTCATCAAAGGTCAATCCTTTTGTCTCTGGAACATACAAAAGCACAAATAGAAAGGCAAGGATTGTAATACCAGCAAATATCAAGAAAGTGGTACCTGTCCCTATGGCTTCTGTAATTGAAAGAAAACTCTGAGACACTACCAAATTTGAAACCCAACACACAGTAGCTGCCATTCCGCCACAGATTCCTCTATATTCCTCAGGATATATCTCTGTGTTCACAGTCCATGGCACGGGCCCCATCCCTGGGGAGAAAAAAGCAATGTATAGGACTAAACCCAAGACTGCAAACCAGCCATAGAGTTCATTTGATGATTGGTTTAAAAATGAGATAGACAAGATGACCAAAGAAACAAATACTCCTCCTAAACTAGAAAGAGCCAACTTCTTGCGCCCTGCATGGTCTATTAGGAAAATGCCAAGGATTGTTCCTGCGGCATTCATTCCAGCAACTACAAGGGACAGCAGAAGAGCCAACTCATTAGAGTGGAAGCCAGCCATTTGGACAATTGTTGGGCTGTAGTACATCACTGTATTTATACCTATGAACTGCTGGAAAGCCTGCACAATCATGCTAGGCATCTTAGAAAACATATTTCACTTGCATGCAGATAATGTAATGTAATGCAATGCAATGCAATGATGTTAATATATTAACTTTCCAATTTACATTCACACTTTCAAAGAAGAAAATATTGGAAGGCTTTCTGAATTTTAATTGTCTAACTTATTTATGCAGGCATTCAAGAATTGAAAACAACTAAATTGTAACAAAAGGCTTGTCACAGATGGTGAATTTCATTCATCAGGCAGAACAAGAAATCACAAAAAACTGCATTGTCAGTAGAGAACTAAATTCAACACTAAAAATGAATTTAGTGATACTTGCTAAAATGAATTAAAGGATGAATCGGTGAATGCTATCGTTATATAGTGTCAGGCTTAAAATATTAATCAAAAGAGAAATGTTAACAGGAGACTCTTCTTCACATCTACTATTATCTGAACAGTTTGTAAAAGTAAAATGATTTTTGTTTACTTTTTAATAGAGCCTCCAAGTTAATATATTTTATTGTACCTGAAGTCCACCTCCAACAAGGAATGCAAGTATGATTTCATTAGATTTAAAAACATCCCCAAATTTTATATTCTTCCTTCTTTGACGCTCTTGCTCTGACAAAGTCATTAAAAAATGAACTTCATCCTCCAAGCGAGCAATGTCATAGATCTTGGAAAGCACATCAACAGCTTCGTTTTTCCTATTCTGCACATGCAATGCAACCCATCACAAGATCACAAAATAAAACATCACAACTGCTGGGAGGAGCAGAGGAATGATGCAGCTGGTTGAACCTTCATAAAGAGCCATCTTGGGGATTCTGGCAGAAAAAGCATGAGAACAAACTGAACCACTGCTGGCACAGCTGAAACTCCCAGCATCCATCGCCATGTCCCGTGAACCTGGTTGAATAGAGTTGCACATATTGAGGACCACAGAGAAAGAAAAATATCTTCTATTCTAGCTGGTTATCGAGTAAAAACTTTTATGATGCGTTGCGAATGATCAGAAAATACTATTAATATTAGTATGACTTTTAAAGTTATAACTTGTAATTGTATAACTCAACAAAAACCAACTTTTCATTAGTGATTCAATCACAGAGTAAACGATCAGAACATAACTTATTCGCTAATAACAGTCAACAGTGGGGAAGAAGAAAATAAAGTTGAATAAAAGTAATTGATTATTTACCCGTGTAAAAGCAACGTTTACTAAGTAGGAAAGAAACTGTCCACCAGTTATCATGAGAACATTTGTGCTAACTAAGGAGCCCCTTATTTCGGATGGTGATGCTTCTGCAATGTACACAGGAGCGGTAACAGAGGCAACACCCACGCCCAAACCAACCAAAAAACGTCCCGAAATGAGAACAGTAGGGTCTTGTGCAGCTGCCATTCCAATTGCTCCTAAAATAAAGATTACATCAGCAATCAGAGTGGCTTTCTTTCGTCCATAAGCATCATTTATCCATCCACCTGCTGCTGCTCCAACTATTGCACCAGCAATTGCCATGCTCACTATTGTTTCCTGCCAACTCATATCGTTACAATTCATTTACACGCAATCAAATCCATAAATTCTTAATTAATCTATAATTGTTTCTTCTGATTCAGTTATGGATCTTTATAGCATTAAATTATAAATCCAATACTTAGTGTTAACTAATAAAACAGCTTCATATATTATACATGAATGTCTATTTGACAAGAATGAACTCAATCAAATCGGAAGATCACAAGGATGAATTGTACCTGAAGAAAATTACTTTGTCTAACCTCTTCAAAATCATCTTTAATATATAAAAGTGCTCCTGATATGACACCTGTGGCAAAATGAATGTTACTAGCTAGAAAGAAAGTAACTTTGACATTAGGAATGAGGACACAGGCGTTTCAAAAACATAGCCAGCCAATTGTTATTATTCAGAGAAAGCAGAATCGATAACTACATAATTGATCGTTCAATTCCATTTTCCGAACATTGAGCTTAGCTTTCTTCTAAAAGGTTAAAAATATTAGTTAGAATGAAGAAAGGCCTTCTAGACCAATCTAAAGTAATGTTGGCCAATAAGGTACAATTTTCTAGGATCCTAACTCAGTTGACACATTAATAAGGTACAATAAAGTAATGAGATTGTCATCGTTATTACAAAAATATATCATAAATAAAAATGATAACAACTTTACACTTTAGCATACATATATGGATGTGGATATTATACTTTTCTTTTTCAGATACGTGATTTTATTGTTATTTAACACTTATTGATATTTTTAAAAATATTAAATTATTAATTATTTTTAACTTTCCTTACTATTTATTTATTTATTTTTGTATTAAAATTGCACTCACACTAAAATTGTAAGTTCTCCAATCTCAGCTTTATTTTTCTTTAAATTTTACTATCAAATCTTGACCATTTAAATTCAAACATTATTCTTTATAATTATTTTAGAAATTTAATTTTGAATTAAACTAGAGTAAACTAACAGTATAATTCTAATTCTAATCATGAAATGTCATATAATTAAAAATTATTAATTTTTATAGTGACTACTTTAAAACTGATTTAAGAGTATAAAAAAATTATATTGAGTATCAATGATGATTTATGATTAGTTGATGACATAAAACAATTACACGGTTAATATATAACAATTAAATTTTAAAGTTATTTATATCTTAATTAAATTAAAAAATATAAGCTATTAAAATACTTGTTACTAGGTATCAAAATTGAGCCCAAGTTGGATGAACTTTTTATCTTTGGATGACTTGTTTTAAACTCATAAGAACAGAATTTACACTAGAAGTACTAAATATAATTATTAATATGGGTTAGAGATAACAATAAAGTTATATGAGTGGTTCCTACAGTATCAAAATTTAAAAAATCTATACGGAACATTGAATAATTCTTGATACCGATGGAAGAATTTGTTTGTCTAAAAGAAGAAAAATGATTTTCCCATTAGCCACAGGCAATTCCTATTGACACATAATATTAAGTGCAAGCAAACTTCCTGCAAGTGACATGCAAGACAAATTAGAAAAGTGATCCAATTAAGCAAAATAATCCTCAATCTGTGGACACAAGTGTTTGTCTAAATAACCTTAGTATCACTTCCACAACTGCAAAATTTAGAAAAAAAAAACTAAGAATATAAGGAATGGATCACAGTTGTGTGACTGGTTCAAACAAAATGATAAGAACAAAGGAGAATTTATGTACCAGTGTCGTAGCCAAAAAGCATGCCACCAATGCCAGCGACAGCAGTGAGTCCGAGAATATAAGGATTCTTAAACAACGACATTTTGCGTTCAGGATACAAATCCAAATACCCAGAGCTTCCTGGCGTCGATTGAATTGTCGCCACCGTCATTCTCTCCAATTTTTTAATATGTAACAAACGCCAATCCTAATCTAAACCTAAACCTAAATAAGAATAAGAATAATTTATAACAAAATAATAAATTCACGATGCCCCCAACAAATTCTGTGTGTCACACCCAGTGATCGAATTGAATGGGGGAACAGTAACATCCACCAATTCAGATTCTATTGTTTTCCTTTTTGTTTTTGGAGTGTTTCATGAGAGAAAGGACACGCCATGCATACGTTCTGGGGGCATACATGATTTGGAAGATCCATGCTTACCATTTTAAAGACTCCCAAAATCTTATTTATTAATGACTCATTTTAAACTTTTAAAAATATTTTTTTAATGCTTTTATAATTTCATGATAATTAAATACGGCAGGAAAACAAGTTTAAAATATAACTTGATTATTTTTAGAATTTAATGATTATTTTTTGTTCATAAAAAAAATTATTTCTTCCAAAAATAAGAATGTCAACTATCATGGTTAGGATAAATTTTTATATTTATTTTTTATTTTAAAATTTTAATTTATCACCATTTTATTTTAAAAAAAATTAATGGATTAAGAGAATATATATATATATATATATATATATATATATATATAATTATTCTTGAATTCGAATATTAAGTAATATAAGACTTTTATATATATATATATATATATATATATATATATATATATATATATATATATATATATATAAATTATTCTTGAATTCGAATACTAAGTAATATAAGACTTATAAGTGTACCGAATATAGTCCCTTAATCAAGGACTAAGAGATAGGATTAAAATGAGACTTTGCTCTCACCCCACGAAAGATGCTAATATTTCATCTAAGAATGATAGTGTTTCGGTGTCATGTCCATTCTGATAATATTATTAGAGTCAATAATCATGTTTGAGATATTGTCCATTTTTTAGCAGTTGATATCAATTTCTAAACAATTTCTAAACAATGTGAAATTGATGTAACGAGTATTTTCAAAATATTCATCATCCTTTTACTTTTGATCTCAAATATTTTTTTTTTATAGGCTCAATTTCCAAGTTAGTTTGTTTTCGCAATTAGGCTATGTGAGTCTTGAGACTTTTTATGAGTGCAATTTATTCCATGATTTGTGGAAGAGATGAATGTCTTGTCGTTTAATCTTTACATGAATGAGAGAGAAGTTTTATCTTACCAATAGTAAATATTAATTAAGTGTTGCTCATTTGAAGAAAACGTCCTAGCTTTTTCATGTTGGGTTAAGTCAGTGTGGACTAAAAAGAGAAATACCCACAAAAGACTATAATATTTAAGTAAATAATGAGATAAAATGATAATTAAAATAAATAATCAAATAAAGTAAACCTGTTTATATAAATATGAATTACTTTTGTAGTATTTTATCTTTATTTGTATTTTATCGTTATTTATTAGCAGATATTTCGAAATAATTTCTAATTATTATGAGGTTAATTGATGTCAGAGTATCTCAAACAAGATATTAAGACAATGTTGGATATTTATTCTAAAGACCTCGCAATTATGGTACTTGGTACCGATTGAATACCAAAATTATAAAGCATTTTGTGAATGATTAACCTGCAACAAAAATATCCTAGTTCATATCAATATTTAGATAAATTATTTAAATTACATTTATTTACTTTCAATTGTTATATATTTTTTAATAATATTATTAATCTTATAATATATAAAATAACATGCTTAAAACATGTGATAAGGATTATCGAAGAAAAACATTTATATCCATTCCACGGAAACAGGTGCCGCAAAGTCACATATTTGACGTACTTTGATTTAAGGAGCAGGTCGGGATCGGTCGTTTTCTGAAAATATTTAGTATTTGTTTTTGTTGGGTTTCCCTTCTTAGTTCACACTCATCTCTTTATTCCATGTTTTACAGTTTCAGCATTCAGGATTCATGTTTTATCAACTACATGGTGTCGAAAATATCTCCTCCATTCTATTGGAAAATTACTAATTATAAAATATCTTGTCAAAAAAATACTGGTTAAAGAATCTTTTATAAAAATATTGAAATTGATATGAAAACATATTAAAAAACTGTAAGAAAACAGCTTTTTATGCATCCCAATAAAAAAAAAAACACTTTTGATTCTTTAATCAGGGTTCTTAGGATACTAGGTAATGTTTGCCTTATAAAAAAAAATGAAGAATCTAAACACTTCAACTGTGTTACAATGGACAATATTATTACATTAGTAGTAATAAACAAAATACATACCCTGGTCACCAACTCAGTAATAAACAAAATTACTGAAAAACTAATATCAGTAATGTGAAAACTACATCAGAGTAAAATTGTAAGAGTGAAAAACCTATGAGAAAGCATTCTGGTGCAAGATCCATGAAAATTGATGACACGCTATTTACCAACCATCAGTCTCTGGGGCGGGCAAGCCAAAGAGAGCTAAGAGCACGCAGCCTAGAAAAGTAGTCATGTATGGCAAGCAGTGCACGTGCCGATTGCCGAGTTGTCAATATGCGATGAATTTGTTGCAGTGTTTGCTGGCGCAAATTGTCAGCCTTCAAATGACCACCACAGAAATGAAGAAGTGAGTTAAGTTACTTCAATAGTGATGTTTATTATAAAGAAGTTTCTTGGTCCTTAAATAAGGGTGATGAAAAGGTATAGGTGCAAAGTGATAAACCAACAAAACATAGGTCAATCCCCCAGCCTAAAAAGTTCTTCATGGGAAGTCAAGGACTTCTATTTCCTAGTGTAGGAAAATTTTATCAACAGTAAATATTAATAGAAAGCCAAGGTTGGTGTAAAAGATACTTCAATTGATTGATCACATGTGAATAAGAAAAGTTTACCTGTTTAATGAACCCCTCAAGTGTCCCTAATTTACCCATGGCCATAGCCATTTGACCCATGTAATTTGCCACATTCCCTGATGAACCAGAGGTGCCAAGTGATCCTGTGGATAATGTCTCAGAAAGGGACTGCTGCAATGCTTCCATGCCCTGAGACAATGCATCTTCTGCCTGTTGGGAAGATTGCTGCAAGTTGGTGATACCCGCTAACTGCTGCTCCGTAAGAGGTTCCAACTGATTTATCAGGAGCTGCAACCAAATTCATGCAACTCTAGTCAAGGGTCAAACTACTAAGTGAATCTAGACCTCACAAATAAAGATTCAGTTTATCACACAAAAACCATGAGGTATGTGTATTTAAGAAGTTTAAGACCATAATTATGATATAAACCATGCATATTGTAGTGATATGTCTACATCTCAAAACTAAGTTCAGAGATTTATGGTTCCAATTGATTATTCTTACAAAAGATGACATGCAAAGCATAATTATGGAACTAGTTTCCAGCTGATTTTGAAGCAATCAAAAACTGACAGGAATAATTCCTCTCTAATAAAGGGAGACTGTATAATTAAGAACAAAATATAGGAAAATACGTAAAAGAAAGAGTGAAAGGCTCCAGCCAAGGTAAATTCCTACAGCCCAAAACAAGGTAGACACCCCCACAACTCCAAACAAGGTAAATTCCTACACCAAGATTAATTTTTAATAAAACAATTGGATATATGGCTCCAACGTTCCTGGTTACAACTGTCTATATCTTGGGAATTATCTTAATCAGTACCCGCAAGAATACCACTCTTTCAGGTATTTTATGCTTCAAGCCAAAAAGAGCTTAAACATTAATTAAAGCAACTTTATATCTTCACATGGCAAGGAACCTTCTTGTAGCAGAGGAGTAGGTACTGCAATTTGAGAAAATATAAATCCTTTTACTGTATGTATTACTTCCAAAATATAATATTTTCTGTTATGTAATTGACACACAAATTTTATATCATATCTCTTTTTCTACTGTTCCAATACTGAATGTTGAATAAAAATGAAAAAAAAATTTCCATTGCTGCCCATTATTCAACTAAAAAGGTGTATCGGAAAGAAAAATAACAATGAAGCTAAAGAAATAAACTGCAAAACATCACTTTTTGATTTATGATTTGAGAGAAGGTCAGCAAAATTCTCCTTCAAAATAATTACAACAATTAAGCTTTATCCCACAATGGGATCAGCTACAAGGATAAATCAAATGAGCTACTTTTAGAACTAAAATGTCCAATAAAATCTTAAAGACCATTTAAAGTCTTCGAAAGAAATTTAGCCTTAGCCTTACATAAATAGAAGGAAGGGTGTTTTCAGTTAAACCTAAAGAATATATATAGATAAAGGAAAACGACTATAAAATGGTGCTAAAATTTAGAAGATTGAAAGTCAAAGAAATATTTTGCAAATGACTGGGTGACACAGTAAGCTCAAGTCAAACCCTTTATTTTGTGATTTCCTTAGCTACTTATTCCCATTAGGCATCATACCCTCCATGGTCAGTACCTGAGCTGACCTCCAATTCTTCAAACCTCTTTGCTTGTTGCTCAAGAGGTTGGAGGATTATATACCCTCTGATGTTAGTACCAAAGCCAACCTCCAATTCTTCAATCCTCCTTGCTCTTTGCACTTGAGACTGTAGGTTTGTATAATCCCTGAAGTGGATACTCGGCCTCCAATTCTTTAAGCCTCTTCACTCTACTCATGCTGAGCTCAATGTCCTCTGCATACATAGGCTCCACACTGAGGCTGAACTTTGTTTCTTAGGCAAGTTGGACTTATGTCAATCTCCTTCCCTAATGGCTAAATTATCTCTTTGAACCAACATCTTGGCAACACCTGGAGGATCTAGGGAGTGGCCTAGCACCCTCTGAGCACTCTAAGATCACAATGAAAGCTTCGCATAAAGCTTAGGGTTGACCTAGGGTATCACTCAAATACTCTGGGTAGGCAGTCTCAGCCCCTAGCTGAGGAACCTATACTTGAACATGTATATAAAACAAATAACTAGCCTCCTGAAAGATATTAACGATTATGTGTAGGCATTAGGATATTCTTAAAATTTGACTTGGTGTCACTTGTACAATTAATAACTTAACCTTTGTGCATGGACAGAGAGAGATGAAAATCTGAAAGAGACATCCAGTAACAGGCTAATATGTGAAACATATATAAAAGGAGGGAATAGTGTAATAGGAATCTGTAAGATACAAATGTGATATAATGATATGGTTATTTGTTGAGTATCCTAGCAAACATATTTATACTAATATTCTAGCTATATATTAACAGGCTTGCAGTCCTAATATGGTAAAACTCCTATCAATAAATCCAACATTTTAAATTCTTGATCAACCAACAATATCAGAAAGAAACTACAAATACAGATGCAACATGTCAGCCCTTAATGTACGTATTCTCTTTTACATAACTCTCAGGTTAAAACAATTTGGGTACGTTATAATTATCCAAAAGATAATGTTCAAGAATTTTCCCTGTATGTTACAAAGAAACACTGGTGCTTAGAAAATCCATAATATCTTTCAAAAAATCTTGAGAGTAGTAAATCAAAGGGTCACAATCAGCTCACCTTCAGTAGTTCAGATGAGCGAAAACCACCAAGCCATAGGAAACACCTCTCTGCTGGTGTTTTCCACATGCCAGACAACAAATGGAAGACATCAGCCTTAGCTGCATTGCCCTTCAGCTTAAATATCTCATCATAATGTGCCATAACACCATCAATAATCATGCAAAGTTCTGTATCACCTGCGTGAGAATTTACAGCTGCTCTTAGCTCATTAATTTGTCGATTGTGCTCTTCCAGCCACCTTGCATATTCTACATCAAATGCCATAGCCCCTGTAAAAAACATAATTATGGATTATCTCATGTAACAGATGAGAAATTTAAACATTCCTGAAGGTGCAACATAAGCCACAAATTATACCTCTAAACTTTATTATGGACATATTTTGATATTAAAACTTGTGGAATGAATAACATATTTTAGAAAGAAGGATACCATTTCCGGTCATTGAATGCGCTTGATCACTTGAACCTGATATAAATATTCCCTGCAGGATAACAACCAGAGATTTGAGTTTAAATTGAATATGAGCATAGTTGGCAATGTTATCACTAAAGAAAAGAAAACAGAATCTAGTTCCAAGTAATAATTGCACCCTACCTGCTGCCTAGCTCGCTGAAGCTCTTGCTCCAATTGAGTCAACTTTAAACGACTACTTTCCAGCTGTTGAACATAAGCCTGTGTAGTAACGACATTTTGGCATCAAGTCTTGGTCAAGTGGTGTGATGCAAACATAATTATTTCTAAAATCTATCATAGAGATCAAACAAATAAAAACAGTACAAGAATCAAAGGATTCCACTACAACCCATACTCATTACAAATAACCAGTTACTATTGCAAAGCACTCTATTCTATAAAGGTTGAATATCCACATTATAATTTTACAAGTTCATCCTCGAAGTGCAGTTAAGAAGAAACACCCAGCTAACTGCCATATATATAACATTACAGAGGTAATAATGAAGTACTCACAATATTTAATTACCAAAATATATCTTTAGATTAGTCGATATCAAAGAAAGTGGTACTCATTCTGTGTGTATTTTCTCACCATAAGAGGAAAGTATGCTTCAGCTGCATTGTGAGTAGCCAGGAGCAGTCTTGCTAAATTCTTGATTATTTTCATATTTCTTGTTTACCCACAATTTTCCATTTTGGAGTTTATCCTATTCTACCTTTGCAACTTCCCCTTTTAATTTTTTTTTTCTATTAAAAAATATATTATATTACAGCTAGAACGTGACACTCAATTTGCAAGCAGGTCTATATAATCTGTAGACCAAACTGATTATTCAAATACATACAACCACAGATGAAAATACATAGCTTGTATTTGTGAGTTACAATTAAGCCATGGCGATATTATATATGGAGAAAGAAGAAGAAAACAGATAATCACTTGTAACAACAAATATTAACAGAAAAGTACATATTCCTACTTTCTTTTTCAGTCGGCTTTTTCTTGCAGCCTCACGATTCTGAGCAAGCCTGCGGAGAGTCTGCGGTAAATTAAAGAGCAATGATAATGTAACAAATAGTATTCAAAAGTTTAGATATTAACTGCAAATTAAATTTAAGATAGGATAAACATTTATTTTAGTCCTTCAATGATATACACCATAGTACAGTGGTCCTCAATTCCATCAATTTTGGTCCTTCAATGTTTGTTAATGGCAACATTTAGTCTATAAAGTATCATCTAGATCTTGCATCTTCAGACGATCAATTTGATGTTATGTATAATTGGAGGGACCATGTAATGTAATGTATATCTTTGGAGGACCGAAATGGTTATTTATTATTCAAAATGTACTTCACCTTCTGATCTGTTTTATCCTTTGATCTGTCACTAGAATCAGAAGCTGCTGCTACAAGGGCCTGACTTCTATCAAACTGTACACATGGAATGCACAAATGTCAGGAACATCAACTAAATAACCTCTACTTTAAGGAACAGAATGGAAAAGTTGAATCCTTGATGATGAGTTCAATCTAACAGGTCCAAAACCAAGAAGAAAATTCACCTGTGGATTCTTATCTTCAGTGTCTGCATCTGTAGAAATATCAGTTCTAGGACTAGCATCAGCCATGGCAGACTCTTCCTGGTGCTCTGTATCACCAGTGACCAGATTAGAGGAGTGAACCCTTTGTAATTGCAAACTTTGTTGCTCTGTTTGGTTCGAAAATGGGCTTTTATCAAGTGAAGTTGGCAACTGAATTGAAATGGAAAAAGAAAGGAAAAAAAAATGTAAAATAAGAGAATTATTTTTTAACCAACTACCAACCACCAAATTTCCAAGCTGAATGTTCGATAGATAACAAGAACTAGAAAACTCACCTTATCAAAGGAACTGAGTTGAACAGGACCTCGAGAAATTGTTTGGCCACTTACTTTAAATGAGTCAAAAATTGAGTCTGAATCACATATCAGATGACTTTATTAGAGAATGAAAGGGTGGAGAAAGACTACATATTATCAAGAATAGAAAGAGCAGATTAGTCAGATTATAAACTTAGATATCTAGCTCTTTACCCAAGAGTAAAAGGCCTGTATATATATTTTAGCATGCGGGCATCTGTGCATGCATTACTACTCCTCTTTCGTATCTTTCAGACCAGTTCGTGATCAATGTTTATCAATGCTATTATTCCCAATGCTATGTGGGATCTCTAATATATCATAATCTAACTATATGTTCCTTTCTCTTCTTGTGCGACATAACACTTAGAGAAACTTCAAAATCCCCTATTCCTCCCTCTTATAAACAACTGACAATCTGCTAGAGATAATTGATTAAGTCTTTAAATGTGTATTTTCTTTAGGATTCGATCTCTCCATTTTATTTTAACAGGAAATTTCCTGTTCCACGAATATGAATCAACAAATGTGTAAGATCTCTAACACACTCTCCTCATGTTGAGGGCTAGACATCTTGAGCATAAAGTTTTCAAGACTAAACATTTGTAGGTGTTACAATAACAATCTGATAACAAATGGCCTAACAAGTCCAACAACCACAAGAATATATTATAATACCACCATACGATTGAGCTTGAATTCAACACCAAAAGCTAGCTCATGGAGTGAGAGTAGTTGCCCCTCCCTTAGATTTTATGCACTATATCACTAAGCAATGCGAAATCTACAACAGTAAGAATACTTACTTCCACTCAAGGGAACAGAATCCTCTTTGCCATATCCAACTGGTTGACCAAAGTTAGACACACGAAAAGAATCAACTGGCCTTCCCTCTGTATAGCTGAAAAAAACCATGTCAGATTTCAGCTAACAGACTAACACAAGTCAGTTCAGGTCCTTCTTCTCAGACAAACACCACAAAAACAGGAACATTGCAATAGACTAGTCGTTTGAGAGGTTTATTCCCGTTACAGTGAATATTCTGTTGTTGCTAGGACAGTGAATGCAAATATCCGATAAAGGAGTACTACATGGGAACAAAAGAAATTTCGGTTGGGGAAACTATACAGTGGCATGTCATAAATGGGACAGATTTACATTTATACCATGCATCGGAATCGGACAATTGTGAATTGAAGCTAGGCATCCCTCTTGCTGTTCCCTTCTCATCTTCTACACAAACACCGGCTCTACTCCACACACCATCATATTTCATTAATAACCTTGCAACCCAACATAGTTCAAGACCTGAAACCCATGACCAAAATAATTCACAGAATAAAAAACACAGTCTTAGCCTCAGTGGAGGCAGAATAGCAAAACTACTCTCAATCAAAACATAAATTGAAAAAGAAACTCGTCTCATGCTTATTGCCCATGAGGGACAACCAGCACACGCAACTTCGACAAAAACAAAATTGAAACAATTCAAATATAGAGAACTCCTGGACTTCCAACGATACTAACAGAAAACGAATCTGAATGCATTGAAAAAAAAAAAAAACACTCAACTGTAGTAGCACAAGCTATTAAAAAAACCAATTTCGGTTACTAAAGCACAAACTTCTGAACAATCCAGTGTGCCCACAAGCTAAACTCACGGAAAACGATGGTTTGCAACCATATATAAACTTCAAAAAAGTCAAAGCAGCACACTTTGACAAGCAAAAGACTAAGTTGACACCAACCTAACAACCCCCAGATGGATGCCCAAACCAATAGAAAAGTTTATACCAAATCTAATCCCAAGAAGATCAATTGTGTAAAACAAAATAATTAAGTTTTGTTGTTTTACTGATGCTACCAAATAGTGGCAGAAAATGAAGGGAACGCACCTCAGAATTCTGATGACGTGGATGTTGATGATGATGGTATCTGTTCAACGTTTTTTGGTGAATATTTATTATTGTTGGATTAAAGTGAAAGGAAGAGGAGTCGACGAGAGAGAAGAAGGATTGGTCCAATTTCTAGACGTCTTGTTCTGCCCCTGAGAACTAAAGATTTTCCATTTTCCCGTTTTTATAATGCTTCAGTGCTTTGACATGATTCATCGTTTATTGTATTTTACTAGTTTTCTAAAAAAAATGTCGTTGTCTTCTTATGTTTTGATTCATTTTCTGTTGTAATTATTTGTGTCATGTGTGAGTGTATCACACGGTAATTGCACAGTGTCTTAAGTCGTAGGTTCACAGCTATCTTTTCACTTTTCAGTGTTGTGGCTTTTATCCTCTGCCACAAGTCACACTTGTTATTGGTAAATCCTCTTTCATTTTCAGCTTTTATATATATATTAGATTAATTTTTTATTTGTGTCTGCTAGAATTATTTATTTTTTAATTTCTGAATTTTAAAAACTACTTATTCTAGTCACCTTTTTCACTGGTGTTATTCTAATCACCTATTAAAATTATGTTGCCACTTAAATATTAATAGATAGTTTTTCAAAAAAATTTCAAATATTTGTTTAAATTAGTAAACTGATGTTTTTTCTTTGTTAATTATCAAGTTTGCACAAATTGTTTGAATAAAATTCTTATAACAAATTTCATCATTTTATTTGATTCAGAAAATATTTTTTAATTTTAATGTCTTTATATCCCAACCATTTAAGATGAATACAGGTTTAAGAAAAACAAAATAGTGAGAATATTCAAAATAATAATAAAATTAAAAACTATCATTTTCAAAAAAGTTATTCGTATTTTAAAATAGATGAGTTATTTAAAATTGGGTCAGAATTATTTATACAGTTAATTTTTTTTAATTTTAAATAAATTTTTTTTATTTTTAAACAACTTAAATATGAAATTTATAATAAAATATAAAAAACTCTCCGTAACAATTCTCTTTTAACGATGCTCTTATCAATTAAAATTAACTTATTTATAAACTAAAATGAATTTATTCATAAAAATATTTATTCCTATTTTCCTTCTTAATGCATTCCTTACACACTTATTAGATACCTTTAGTTTCTATTTAATATATAAAGTAATATTATAATTTGATATATTAAGTTAAAATTCAAAGACGATATATATATATATATATATATATATATATATATATATATATTAATTTTATAATAAAATTTGAGAAATGAAAGAGATTGGATGAGTATTTTTTTTTAATTCTTAAAGGTATTTTGTCAATAATAACTCTTATTCATACACTAATTTTTGGGTTATCCGAAGTGGAATAATAGTGAACATTATTATAAACCATTGTTTTTGACAATTTTTAGACAACAATTTTGTTTGTATTTTCAGACAACACTCTTTTGATTAGGTAATAATTATTTAATTGTTGTGATTGCATTATTTAAACCATAATTCTTTATTTATTGTCTTTTCATATTTTTGAAATGTTGAGATTTGTTTTGGCTAAGTTTCTTTAACTGTGTTCAAGGTGTACTTCTTTAACGGTTGCTTTTTTATAATGAGTTTTCATGTTATATTTTGTTTAGGAATAGTTATGTAAATGTTGTATATGTTTTTTAAATGTAAATATTTAATTATTGTCTTTTGTTTTGATTTAACAATGCACGAGATTGTTTTTCATTATCCCGTTCAATCTCATTACACTTATTTATTAGACGGGAATATAAGTATTTATATTTACTATAATATATTTTCAATGCAACAACAAAAACACACAACATTATGAAATTACTTTATATGAAAAACTTACAAAGTCAAGTTTTTTTTTATCAAATAAATATTATTCGCATGACATTTTTATTTTAGTTTAAATTATAACAAATTTGTCCTTGTTCTTGTATCTAACTATAAATATAAATTTACCCATGAAAACAAAATTTGTACAAGTATAAGAATAACATATGAAACCAAATTTGTTTTAAGGGTTTCAAATCTCTCCCATCAAGAATACAATTAAGTAGAAGTAAATTAAACGTAAATGTTTTTTTTTCTTAGGTTATTATTATTTTACAAAATATATTATGAGATTATTTCTTCTTATTCTAGTTTCAATCTTATTATACTTATTTATTAGAGATTAAACATGTTTTTCTTTTATTTTAAATAATCCAAATCAACTACTATTAACATTAAAAAATCAAATTAAATTACATTTTTTTAGAGTGAGAATAGGACAATTGTAATGAAAAGAAATATATTAAGACTTAGTGAAGTTTTGAGAAGAAAAACCCTTGACAATGCATATTTATAGTAAAAACCCTCATTATAGCATGTGTTCGGGGTCATTATGCCATGAATGAGAATGCAAAAGATTCATCATAAACGGTAACTCATTTGACCATTTAGGTTTTGGAGATTTATGTGCCTATCCATTCTTTTTTTAATGTTTAGAACTAATATTTTATTAGACTATAGTTTATGATATTATTAACTCAACAAAATTCATTAATTAATTGGTTACATATTTACCAAATATGAAACTTTATTATGTTTGTTCAAATCCTAATGTTATCTTTATCAATTAGTATTTATGACAACTTAAGGTTCTAATTAGATATCTCACTCAGATTTAAGTATTGAAGTACTTTTATAGGATCCCACTCTTTATTGATTTCAAGATCTCATATATCAACTATTATACTCTTATATTTCATTTTCTTTTGATAGTAATAATTATCATTCTCTTATTAAGAACATTTGATACTATTATGGGACCGATCGCGAAGAAACTATTAATATTTTGAAGTTGTACATTAAAAAAATTACAGTGGAAGGATGAAGAAGAGATTGCCCGACATAAAGATGAAATATATGTTATGAAAAAGAGTGAAGAAATAGTTCCAAGTACTATTCCTTTTTCAGAAATAAGTTGTTATTATGGTACCAATCTACATCCCTCCGAACAAAAACTTGGATTCCCGCGACCAAAACGTGCCCTATTAAAATTTTGTAATTTTATATATTCTATAATCAAAATTCTCATAGGAGGTGTGATATTTATATATAAGTAGGATGTTCATCACATCATTAAAATATTTCTACTATTATCCTCTTTTATATATATATATATATATATATATATATATATATATATATATATATTGTGTGTGTTATATCATGGAGGAGAAAAATAAATTAAGATATTTCTTTATGAAAAGAGGAAAAAATAAATATTAATTAATGCAAGAAATTTCTTTATTAAACATTAAAAGAGAGAAAATGGAAAAGAGAAAGTGAGAGATCACAATTTCTTAATAGAAAAATAGATTAATTTTAGACGTTTAGAAATGAGAAAATATATTTTGACAATAAGGTTAACCAGGTTTATAAATATCTTATGAACAATCTTAAAATATTATTTTTGTATTAATTGATGAAAAGAAAATGAAATAAGATAGATAAATAATAATATAAATATTTAAAAGTGGGTTATTGAATAATTTTTTTTTTCAAAATATCAGCCATCTTTAGAGATATAGCTAAAAGAAAAAAAATAATGTTGATTAGTAAAATTTTGGGTGTCATGGTCAATGATTGTAACCATGCATCTTGGTACTGCAACTTCATGTTTTAAAGAAACATGAGGGATAATCTTCAGCTTCAAGATGAAGCAAAAATGTAACATATTATTTGAAGAAATGAAGAAATAAAGCAACATGGATGTCTTTAAAACATGAACATAAGGGTACTTTTTGTTTAGTTGAAAAGAAAGGTATAGTTGCAGCCATACCATCTGACAAAAAAAGAAAGAAAGACATACATGAAACTGTTTGTCAACCGCAACTAACAGCCACAGAGGTATCATATGGGCAGGGACTAGGTGGAATTGTGACTGGAGCTATTCCTTCCAGCATCAGCATCACCTTCTTCATACTTGGCCTGAGAGAGGGATCCTCTTGAAGGCACCAAATAGCTATCATCACAAACCTTTCCAACCTATTGATGTCATTGATAGCCTCCTCATCATTTTCAACCAGAATGTCAATTCTTCCAGCCGTATAGCAGTCGCAGGCCCAGTCAGTTAAAATGGCCTTCTCTTCATTCTCCAATTCACCATCTACATTTTTCCTGCAACAAATTATCTCCAGAAGCAGCACACCAAAACTGTAGACATCAACCTTGGCTGTGATTGGTGCACTCCTGAACCAGTCTGGTGCAACATACCCTTTTGTTCCTCGAATGTCAGTTTCTGTGCGGCTTTGATTAATCATTAGCAGCTTTGACAACCCAAAATCTGATATTCTTGCATTGTAATACTCATCTAGAAGTATATTTTGAGGCTTTATGTCACAATGGATGATCTGGGTGCAGCATTCCTCGTGCAAGTAAACCAGCCCTCTTGATATCCCAAAAGCAATCTGGACTCTTTGGTTCCAATTTGGTTTGAAATCCCCGAAAAGAAAATTTGCTAAGGTGCCATTGCTCAAAAATTCATACACCAGAATCCGGTTTTCTACCTCATCACAGTATCCAATCAGGCGAACCAAGTTTTTGTGATGAGTTTGACCTATCACATTCACTTCTGTTTTGAATTCCTTATCGCTTTCTTTGAGCACCTTGTGTAGTTTCTTGACCGCAATAGTAGATAAATCTGTTGTTCCTTTAAAGACAATGGCACAAGACCCCCTTCCCAATTCTTCTTTGAAGTTATCTGTTGCTTGCACAATCTCTCTAAAGGTGAAACGGCGCAAATTGCTCCCCGCAACAGTATCATTGGTAGAACTTCTCTTGTTGTAACAGAAGTGGAAACCAATACATACAGCACTGACCACCATGAGATTCACAAAGACAGAACTTCCTAGAAGGACTGATATCACAGTTATCAATGTTTCTTGATCCTTTCCAATTTCCTTCTCTTCTATGAACGGATTTGAAGGACTAGCTAGCGAAGCATCATTTTTCCTCAACTTAATGAAAGCAGATCCCCCAACTTCTCCATCCCGTCTTCCATTGGATAGAGGCAGCTTCTTCTTCCAACAGCTATCACTTCTAAAAATAGAAACAGCACATAAGCAATCTTGCAAGCAAGAAGTCTTGCAGTCTTCTGAATTGTAAGGTTCATACACTTCATAATCTGATTCCGGCCAATCAGTACTCGCCATTTCCTTCATGAAGTACATATGTTCTTGCAAGTTTTGTCCACTTTCTCCGCAACCGAGTTCCAAATTTGGTCTGCAGCTTCCATACTCATCCGTTGAATCAAGAAGAGAATAGCCTTCTGGACAAGTGCACTTCGGTCTTTGATCAGGTTCGAGAGTGCAGATACTATTGAATCCACAGACCCCACTACCACCCCTACTTTCTCGCAAATCCATGCAAATGTTGTCTGGCAATGTCTTTATAACCGTCCAGCTTGGATTTGAATCTGGATTTTTCGGGTAACGTGATATGGTGAAAGTTCCATCAAAATTTATGGTTGCTTTATAGTAATAGGAATCGGTTGAGAGCATATCATTTGGATTGGTAATATAAAACCTCTCATAGCTCCTCTTCAATACATAAAATCCTGAATTATCAAACATCACTCGGAAACCAGAGTTTGTTGTATTGGTCGAGTCATCAGTTCTACTGATGTAGTAAGAATCATAAATATGGTTGGTAGGTAAATTTATAGGATTAAGCTTAGCCGTACCCTCCGTAATCAAGCGAAACTGGAACCTTCCCCGTGAGAAGTTGGTCTCTTTGTGGCGCGATGAAAGCGTGCCTCCAATCTCCATGATTTGAGATGGCACCAAGGTATCAGTTGGATTGCTGAAACTGTCCCACAACATCTGTGAATTCTCATCTAGAAGCTGGAAGTTGCCTGTGTCATTCAGTAGTCCATAGGAAATTGTACCTGATATGGGCTGTGATGTCCATAGCTGAACACCCTGAGGGGATTTCAGCACCAGCCCACTGTCTTCACTAAGCTCAAGTTTTGAGCCTTTAGGAGCAAGGTTGTCTCCATTTGCATACCAAATGAAAGAGGCATGAGGTATATTTTGGTACCTTATGGCAAGCAAGAAAAGGGTATTATTCTCAGGCAGATGAAAACCAAATGCAAACTCTCCTGATGGAGAAAGCCATTGCGCACCCTCATTACCTGCAATAAGGGTCTCACCAATGCTAACATTATTGTGCGGCGTAGCAGAGGCAGAGACGTATGGGAGTTGCAACAAGGGGAGAAGGATAACAGAGGTAAGACAAATAAGAACAGTATTAACACTCATCTTTGCTTGAGGGTTGAGGACAATCAGTGACACATGCTAAGTGAATCAACTTTACAAGCCTTTAATTGGAACGAATTGCTGACTTTTAAGCAGAAGACTGACATCATTTGATTAAGTCTTCCAAATAATTTGTAAGAGAGAGAGAAGACGCGCTATAATTTGTCTCACTTGAATTTGCACGACACGTTAAACTGACTTTGAAATATCAGAACAGAACAGGACAGGAGAGATAGCAGCGGAATGTCAAGAGAGTTCAACTTACGTTAAGGGATACGAAACGTAATTGTTTCAATTTTTTTCTTAGTTAAATTGGTCGTGTCCAACTCTTATCCCAGTATAGTACTTTTTAGGTCCATCCGATAGACACATGTAAGATGACAATTTTTAATTTATTTCTGCTCACGTGGTAAATCCAATTATAATCGAGATACCATCTTTCATTCCATTGTCGAAAATATGCAAGAGGAGATCGACCATCCTCATCATTTATACAGTTTCAAGGTCGTCGTGGTTACTGGATATAACTGGACTCAGTTGCACTGTCATTTTGTCTACTTTGTAAGGACAATTGCAATCATCGCACTAAGATACCACCAAGGTTGCAGAATCATCCAAGGTAACTAAAGAAGGTATTTTAGTGATTCACTTGTCGGACACACTGTAATAGGACGGAACAGGTGAAAGCAAAGGTAGATACAATTGAAGAATCCAAAATCTGATCACGGATGTGAATAATCAATGGAAAGTCCATGTAATACTAATAATACGGAAAACTTTAAACAATGGAGGCAAAAGACAATACTTAATTGAAGTAATAGAAAAGAACATGAACTTTGCTAAAATACTTAGTCATTGTACCCTTCAGATATTTTGGGAGCTACAATGTTTATGATATTTTTGACAAAGTGTATAATAGTTTGGCATGTTCCCAAAACACTCATCTTTAACCATAACAACCACACTCTTATTAAGATGGTAATGGAAGACTTTCTAATCGAGAATGAAAATCATTCTGTACATGTGAAATCAGAAATTAGTAATTGCATCCGATCTCTAAAAAATTTAATTATTTTAAATTTTTTTATATTTTTGGAATGGAATAGTTACAAAATTCCTCTAAAATGATACCCAAACTTATTATGTGTATTTACATAAGAGAAACAATCCTAAAAAAAAAAAAAATAAAAAAAAATGGAAAGCCAAGTGGTGGTGGACATTGGACACACCATCTTGCACAACAAGTGACGATTGACAAGGATTGGGGTAACTCATCGTAACTCCAATCGCCACAATTTTTACAACGTGATGATCGCTTGATTGAGACGAGTACCACAATGTTGTCACACATTCAAACAGACAGTGAGAATAACAATCGAGGCACGATAATAAAATAGAAAAAAATATGTTGAATCCCTAATATGTGACAAATATAGAGTTATATGTTTATAAATAAGAAAATATAAGTAAATAGAGCTATCGGTTACATCTAACGAAGATTAATAATTAAAAATATTTGTTTAAATATACAAACCCTATGGCTTTTAAAAACATTATACAATACATAGGGGAAAAAATGAGAAAACTACGATGAGTAATATTACAAAAAGTGAAAAAACCAAGAAATTTATAACAAGATTTCGTTAAAAAAATAATGTTATAATTAAGCTAAGTGATTATTTAACAAATCGACTTTCACCCTAGCTCTACGAAATACACGTGAAAGGTCCCAGTACAAGTAAAATATTAACATAACATTTCAGCTGAAGACTGAATAAATAATTAAAAACATCACTTATTTTCAAGCCTTCAAAAATTTTGTTAAAAAGTAAGAAATTATATTTCCCAAGGTAAATGAATAAACTAAACATCGTACGAACTTGGGCACCTGAAACAGACATGGCCACCGAATAACCCACCACAACCCATACTCACTTTACAAAATAGTGCATACAAATGATACCAGGATAAATAAGAGCAACCATGCACGGAAAACTTCGCATATTATATTGCACTTTTCTCCGCACTGTTTTAACTGGAGATTAATGTCTACCAATCTTAACAAAAAACAGATGGCCAGTATCATAATTTTCAGGTACGAGCTGACAACTTAAAACATTGATAAAACATTTATATCCTTAAACGTTCACAGTGCTATCCAGTTATGAACAAATTACTTTAAAACGAATATATGAACCTTCCAGGTGTTTTTGGTGTGAAATATATGAAACTCTGATATTTTTGGTGTGGACTTGCGTTGTTCTTGATACTGATAAGGATAAGAAACATACGAATAAAAAAAAATAAAGAAAAACTAGCGCGTTCAATCTAAAAAATGGGAAAGGAGGGGGCCAGCCTCGTTTGTCTATCCCGCAATGCAAAATGACACTAAATTTACATTTTAAGACGTTAAATTAAAAACAAAAAAACCTGCCCAAACAGGAAATCCAATTACCATAGTTCTTTTTCCTGCTTCAAAGCAGAGAACCAAAATTGAGACAAGGTACATAAAAATGTCAGCACAGTACTGAAATTCTCACTTGACACCCAGGTTAGGGAATTGCCCTGGATCTTCGATTGATGGAGCAGAGATGTTAGCAGTTGCATAGCCACCATATCCTCCTCTTGCACCACGTCCTCTACCACGACCACGTCCACGCCCACCTGCATTATAGTAGCTTTCACCCTCTGGTGGCTTCAGAAACTCGTTGATGCTGACAGACTAGTAGCATGAATTCCAACAAACCAGAAGGGGAAATGTCAACAAAATCTATTAGATGTGAAAGACAAATTTATAAAGAAATATTATCACACGTAAGGATGCCAATATTACAGACAAGGATGAAATGGAATCAAAAACAACAGAAACAGAAGAGTAAAATTAAAGTTTCTAGGGTGCAAAGGCAACTTCAGTTTCCACCTGTAATCCATACAATCCACAAGCATTTTCAGAAATAAAGATTTAAGCCAGAAATAACGAAATTATAAACTGAATTCACCAGTAGTCAATGCTAAAGACAAAAACCAACAATGTCACACCTTCTTAGCTTTCTCTTCCTTCTCATTCTCTTTGCGCTTGTCCTTGTCAGAACCCTTTAAAGGAGAAGAGTTCCAAGAGTCAAGGATATCATCATCAATATAAAAAATTTAATATGGAAACTACAAACTAAAATAAGAAAATCATAAACCTCACCAGCTTAATAAAGATGTCATCATTGTCTTTCTTGTTTGAAAGCTGCTGCATGGATTCAAAAACTTTGGTATCCACTTTTCTCTCCTCAGTTTTAATTGCATGAAACGCCTTTCTTTTCTCTTCTAGTACCTTTTCATATTCTCCCAATGTCATTTCCTATTCAGAAGGAAAAATACTATTTAGCTATAAAATTATTCAGGAATTCTGATAGAAGGGTATATTGTTAAGAAATTATGTACCCCAAAATTGAAAAAAATATATCTCAATTTTTAAATTAAGAATAAGGAAAAATACCAATTTTCAATTAAGGAAATGGAAAACTATCAAATTTTAAATTGAGGAAAAGGAAAATTAAAAATATTTAATTAAGAAAAATAAGCAAATGAGACTTTATGAATAAAGAGTAAATAATCACAGGAATTTTCAAAACCAACGGTTAAGGTTTAGATGTTCTTAAAATAAACAGTAGTAAAAAAACAAAAAAAGAATATCATTCCTACAAGCCAAAGCTAAACTTTATTGGATTATCATTCCTACAACTGTAACTAATGCAGTGATTAATTCATATAAGGCGAGCTATAACTGACAAATCACAAATCTTCTGCTGGTCTAAAGATAGTGTTAAAAAAGATTAACTATATACAGAACCTTATCCTCGGGTTCTTTTTCTTCAGCTTCATTAGCAGCGTTCTCCTTGTTTCCATCTGCTGCACCAATAACCTCACCTGAAGGCTTTTCTTCACTAAAATTCTTCGAAGTTTCATTTACTTCATCAGTTGCCCTAAATAAATTTCAAAAGAGGACAAGGAATAAGCATGATAAATTTCATCAAAAATAGTATTAAACGTAAACAATGTGACGAGGGTTAGGGTTTGACAATAGAAGTATGAAAGTGCAGGGTCTCAAAATAAGTGTTTACTGGGCATGTTCATCAGTTTGTAGTCCCCAGTTCCCTCTACCATAACCTTCCCTTTTGAATTCATTTCTGCAAATAGAACAAGCTACATCAATACAAGAGCCAAAAGTTATTTTAACAAACCAGAAATTCATTACAAGGATAACATTTACCCGCGTCCAGTTCCACTGCGACGTTCATATACTCTCCGTTGTTGCCCATCCTCACCACCTTCTCCATTACTAAAACCTCCACGTCCACCACGACCACCACGATATGGGCCCCGAGGTCCACCATACCCAGACCTTTCTGAGGACCTCCCACTCTCTCCATCAAGAACACCTTGACCAGCATGGGGAGCATATGAATTCTCATCATTGGAGAAGTCTCGATTGAAACCACTACCTCCACGGCCACGACCACGTGCACTTCCACGACCACCTCGACCACCACCGCGAGAAGCATCATTTCTTGCATCCCTCACTATTACAACAAAAGGAAAATTAATAAAAAACAATAACCATGAATGAACAACAAATCAACAGACAGAGCAGTCAGGAATTAGGATAGCAGACAGTAAACAAAAACTATACTGCATGGGGAATCCTAAATAAAACATTTATATTGACTTTACCTTGTTTACTATTGAAGAATTGGTATTAAGAAATGAGAAAAGGATCCTTAATGCAAGCTACATTACTAATTAAGTATCCGCCTGAACTGAATCGTACATCCATTCAAATGTGCCAACAAAACAACAGCGAATTATTCGACTAGGTGAGGTTGGCTACATGATCACACAACAACTTTAGACTAGGCTAAATAAAAAGATTAAGGAATATTATTTAACTCCACAACCATTGTCATAACTGGAAACAAAACATGGGTTAAGGCAGAGTCAGAGGATGGTGGTAC